TATTGTTCTGGTTTCCTAGTTTAAAGCCAGACCTCCAAGAATTAACAGGAATGCATCAAGTTAAAAAGGAAAGGTCATTCAAAGTAGAGAAACTGGATGAATAAGGAATAATTCCCATCCCAGTTAGTACCCCACTTACAGCTCTCAAAACCCTACCCCACCATTATCCACTAATATTGCAGCACAATTACTTACATTTCCACTGAGCCATAGGTTTCTCAAGGGAAGGTACTCAGCTTATTTACCTTAAAATTCTTACCAACCACCACAAAACATACACACAATATTTAAGTGAATAAGTGATACCTATTATGAATGTTGATAAATAATGTGTCTAAGGCCTGTTTGAGTATATGGGTAGCACTGGATCAAAAAGCCTCAAATCCCATATTATGGTATATTGGGCCTTTATTCAGAACACAGTGGGGAAACTACTGGAGCAAAGCACAGAACAGTGGAGAAAAACACCATTATGCTTGTGTTTTAGAAAGAATACTTTGATGGCCTGAGGGCAGAAGACTCTTGATAAAGGTAAACTTATTAGAGGATCCTTGCTATAGTCCAGGGAAGTGTTAATAAGGATCTGGCTTTTGTTATATCTAAAATGAGGGTAACATTACCTACTTTACAAGGTTAAAAGCTAAGTAAGACAAAATGACTGATACTGGAAAACAGAAGAAGCCCATCACAAGAGAAGGGCTTTCATGAGGAGTCTGGTCTTGTGCCAGGTCTGACTTGGCCTGGATAAAATACATCTTAGAGACATCGAGGTATTCTGAAAAACTCAATGTCTAGACATTTTAAAGCTGAGGACCAGTTCCTGGAAAGTGATGGGTGAAGGACCTATGTGGCCACACTATGAAGACAGTGGACCCCTTGCTCTACCACCTTTACCTCAGAGCTCACACTCAAAATGCTTCATCAGGACATAAAGCCTGAAAGTAAGAACCTCCTGAAGTAACCAGTAGAAAAACAGGAACAGAGGACTCAAAAGGTTTGGAAGCCAGAGCAGGAGCAGCCTTGGCTCAGCTATCCCCAACACCAAAGCCTTTGTTATCTTCTCCTAGCAGCTATATCCCTCAAAACTGTGGTAACTCTGGAAGGAACAGAAAACACTTTCTTCAACAGCTAGGAAAAAAGGCCTATAAGCACAGGGTAGCAATGATTATGAGGCCCTCTGTGGGTAAAACTGTAAAATTTCCAGAATATCTCGCCTGGCTTTAGTACATCTGCATATCAACAGGCATTTAAAGGTGGAAAGAAGTATGGCTTTAGTGTATTTGCATCATTCCTCAGGGGTGGAGAGAAGTTCATCTCCGTATCAGTGGGTAATTACCTGGGCAAGGAGGGCTTATCTGTACTCGAGAGGAGAGAGGGCTGGTTTTGCTTTTCCTGGAGGAGAGAGAAATGGCCCCAGATTGCAGTTTGTAAGCAATAAACGGATTTTAAACTTTGTAAGTCCATGGAGAGGAAATCCCGAGGCAAAATACCTCTAAAAACTGAAATCAAGGGGAGAAATAAAGTTTAAAACCTGTTTATTGCTTACAAAACTGCAGTCTGGCCCATTTCTCCTGCTCCAGCAGCAGCAAAACCAGCCCTCCCCTCATCTCTCTGGTACAGATAAGCCCTCCTTGCCCAGGTAATTACCCATTGATAGGGAGATGAACTTCTCTCTACCCCTGAGGAATGATGCAAATGCACGAAAGCAATACTTCTTTCCACCTCTGAACGCCTACTGATATGCAGATATACTAAAGCCAGGTGAGACATTCTGGAAATGTTACAATTTTACCCACAACTTTATTTCTCCCTTTGGCTGATTTTAGTTTTTACAGGTGTTTTGCCCCGGGATTTCCTCTCCCTAGCCTTACATCTGGTGCAGTTGGTAGGATTCCTCTGAACCCGAAATCTGTCATAATGGGTGTGACCTTTGGGAAGGCCGCCCCAAGAAACGATGGGGAGAAGTGGCACTCATGCCGAGGGAAGTGTGCCTACATTCCTGCAGTCGTGGAGATGCCACCACTGCTGCTGCCCGCAACAACCCCGGCCTGTGGCCCAAGCCTAAGGCTACTGCTTCTGCCACTGCTGCTGGTCCTGCTGCTGGCCAGAGCCTGATCACAACTATGGAAAGGAGCAGAAGTCCGGGTCACCTTAATAGAGAGGCAACTGGCTGCTGTGCTGTGCACCACGCCTTGCTGGCTTTGGAGCCCATCGCCAGAACACCTCCGACCAAGGTAATAACCACCTATCCCATCACAGGGTGGGTGAGAGACTGGACCCAAAGGCCACAGAGTGGTGTGGCACAGATACCTACTGTATGTCATGTGACTGGCCATTTGCCTTTGGCATCCCCAGGGAATTATGAAGCCGATGCATTGGCCCAGGTGCGCTGCCTAGAAGGAAAGACTGCCTCTGATGTGGCCCAATGGCTGTATCAGCATTTGTTGCACATGGGGCAAAGACAATGCGGGCTGTAGCCCTTCAGTGGGGCTTGCTATTGACCTTTGAAGAAGTCAGCCAAGCCCAGAAGGAGTGCACTGCACGTTGTGCACATCAGCAAACCACCAAGAGGGGCCTACAGCATCTTTTTCCTGCCTATGGCCGGCCACAAGTGATTAAAAGCAATCAAAGCACCCACTTTATTGGACATATGTTACAAGGATGGGTGCAGCAATTAGCAATAAAATGGACGTGGCCTTGGACATTTTGACACATGGACCAGCGATGGCTGGCTCTTCTGGCTCCTTGGGGTAAAGGCCTGGAAGCTGGCTTCCTGTGTATTCCTGGAATAACAGCAAAGTGGCCCCCCACAATCACCATTATTTGCTTCTACAGTCCTTGTATCCTGGATGCGTCCCCTGGCTGCAGCTGCCACGTGATGGCTGGAATGGATGAGTTCAGGATTTATTCTGCATGGGACTTGGAACCTAGCTGAATCCTCTGGCTTGAGAATTATCATGATTGTGTTGCTACTGTCAAGAGAAAAATGCTTAAAGAGAGGCTTGACTTTGTCTAATGTTTGGTAAAAGTTTTGTGAGCAATCTAGCATGGTTGTTAGGAATGAGTAAACAAGCGTAGAAACATATTTTGTGCTTAGTGAGAGATTGCTGTAAAGTATATTTACTTAATCCTCTGCCTTGAGGATTATCATGATTTTATTGCTGTTGTTGTTGTATGTCATTAGTTTGGTCGGAAGATGGGGAACGAGTAAATTGTAATGGGAGATTTCTGGAGGGGTGGTCTGTGGGTAAAACTGTAATATTTCCAGAATATCTCACCTGGCTTTAGTACATCTGCATATCAACAGGCATTTAGAGGTGTTAATAAGTGTGGCTTTAGTGCATTTGCATCATTCCTCAGGGGTGGAGAGAAGTTCATCTCCATATCAATGGGTAATTACCTGGGCAAGGAGGGCTTATCTGTATCAGAGAGGAAAGAGGAGGGCCAGTTTTGCTTTTGCTGGAGCAGGAAAAAGAGAAATGGCCCCAGACTGCAGTTTGTAAGCTATAAATGGATTTTACACTATATTTCTCCCTTTGACTGATTTCGGTTTTTAGAGGTATTCTGCCCAGGGATTTCCTCTCCCGGAACGTACACTTCCCAAGACAGACTGAAGAATCTGCCCAATCAACTGTCTTAGAATGTAATGGTGCCATATGGAACTTCTGTGTTCATGAAGCCTGGACCCTAACAACAGGAAGACTAGTTTTGAGAGAGGCACATACAATTTCTGATTGAATAAATGAAATCACTGCTCTAATTGATGACAACTGTCTTTACTTTTGGCTTAGTAGGGAATTAAAAAAGCAGCTCTGGATGACTTAGAGAAGGCAATGAGAAATCTGATTCTAGATTTGAGTTTACAGAGGATCTGCAGACAGGACTCGTTCTGAAACCAGAAATACACTTAAAGCAACTGCTCTTAAAAGAAAAAAGATGGTATTTCTCATAAACTTCATTCAAAACCAAAATATTCACATTTTCTGACACCAGCTTAGCAAGCATTAAACAAATACAAGCAGTATTTCTTATTGATTAGTTTCAGTGGGGTCCTCTGGTAGAGTTGGAGAGAAAAAATACCAGGCTGAGTGAACCTGACAGCAAGCCTGAGACTATGGCTACACATGAAGAACAGAATAAAGAACAAAACAGAAATATGAATACACTCAAAGTACCCTCATCTAAGGCAGTCTTTGTAAGAACATCAAATTCCAAAGTACTGGATCATCAAGGGAATAGTTATATGAGTGGTCCCATTAATTACTTAAATTCTTATAAATAGAAAGAAAATAATGGTTTAGTAATTAGATATAATTCTGTACAATTTTTTCTCACATTACCCAGACTAAATGAGGCCAAATAAATACGGGAGAAAGCCCTACCCCTTCAGACTTTCAGTGAACAGGAAGAGCAAGCTATATGTAATGGGTCATTAGCCTTAAAAATGGCCACTCAACTCCATTCTGATGGGTTCCTGCCCATCAGAAAACCTGCTGATACTTACAGAATCTTTGTTGGCACGTCAAATGAAGATGTGTTTCTCCTCAATACCTTCTGAACTCAACAGTTAGAATCTTTGCACACAACAATTACAATGAAAGTAGTACTGGTGGGTTTGATGATGAACAAGTTTTGAGAAACTTTTAGCTATGAAAGGCCTTTTTGCAGGATACCAGTAAGGCCTCTGTGGCAAAACCAGAAGTAGAAAACCAGACAAAACACTGCCGTAAGAATCATTAGAGGCCTTTCTTGGAACTATGATAAACATTTTCCCTATCTCCTTCCTCAATCCCACTGCTCATACTGTGCTACCCAGTTACTGTGGCACAAACAATGGAAGAGGATATTACAGTCCAAATATATGAGACTGGAACCTATATTCTAGATCCTGTTCATGCAACATAAGCCTGCAAGTCAGAACACTATTTTGCATTTCTTTAGGGCATCTATAATAAAAAATTAGGATAATCCATATGAAATACTATTCATAGAACACTTACTGAATGCTCACCAAATTAGTGAGGTGGTGATGGAGAGGAAGAAGGGAATGAGGATGAGGTCTCTGCCTTGTAGAACTGGGATGTGATGCTATGAACCAAGAAGAAACACAGGAAACACAGTTGATGGGTGCACTGGGGGAAATAAGGGTAATGGGTGTGAGGTCTCAGAAAGATATGCAAGGAAGAAATAATGCAAACAGAGCATACAAATTAAAGGAAGAGGTCTAAAAACAAGAGCTTCCTTCATTACTAAAGGTAACAGACATGTAGTACAATATAGCATTCTCTCAATACGATAATTCATCTACTTCTATTTGAGGATATAATTTATGTGTTCCATCAGTGTTTGCAAAAGATAAATAAGGAGTCTAAGGAGTGACACTGTTCATTTCTTGAGACTCAAAGCCATTTCTGGCATAACTTTGCATTATGCACAGTGCCCAGAGAAACAAAGGTGACATCCAAACTCTCCTCCAATCTTAAACATTCGTATTACTGTCATATATACTATTTGTATATATGGATATTATCATATATTGGATATAAAAGTATTTTATCAATGAAGATTTTTAGAGATCACTTCTTGAAACTGAAATTCTCTTTATCAGTTGTCTCATTTCTGCCTTCTCTGAATGGAAGACAATACCGTTTGGTCCCACTGTGCCAAAAAGATTACACCTCAGAAGAAGAGGATATATCTTCTATGTGGTAATCAATATTGGACTGTCCTGTCAGCAGTAATATCTTGGCAGCACCTCCCACCCCACAAATGAATAGACGTATGCTGTCTTCGAGAATCATTAACAGAATATACAAATAAATTTCCCTTACTTTGCTTTCCAGTGAGATATCTTAAAGACCTGTGGTTGAGGCACACAGGTAGTCTTCATTTGACTCCTGATTTGTCTCCTTGAAAGGCATTTGCAGCTTCCACCTCAGGGCCTGCTGTTCACTTTTCTACAGTCTTCACATGGTTCATTCTCTCATTTTATTCAGGTCTTCGCTCAAATGCCATCCCCTCAGAGAGCTTTCCCTAATCATCCTCGATAAAAATAACATTCCATCCTGTCATTCTCTTTCACCTTTCTTGACTTTATTTTTCTTTACAGCACTTGAAATTATATACGTTTACTTGTTAATTGTCTCACACTACAATGTAAGCTCCATGAGAGCCAGAACTTCATTTATTCCATACTAAATCCTCAGCACACAGAACAGCGCCTGGCATATATACCAGGCACTGAGTTGAAAACTGCTGAATGAAGCCAATTTTTAAACAATAAATATTTAATAAGGGAATACTTGTTTGTGATCATTGTTTACAGTTTCCAGTCCAAAAATTGCTTCTCAGGATCCAATGTATATAGTCTAAGTCTTTCATATAGTCTAAGTGTCATAGAAGAGTAGGACTGTATGAATTCTCTGGAGGAAAAAAACATTTCCTAGAAAAAAGACTCATGGATTACAGTGTGCATACAGCCTCAAATATGTATGCTGAAAGACTTCAAAAAGCATAAGAAATAAATTATTTTAAAAAAACCAGAGTCCCCAAAAAAGTAAACATAGAATTGCCATATGACTCAACAATTCTACCTCTGGCTACACCCTCTCCCCACCAAAATAAAAGCAGGGACACAAACAGGTGTTTGTACACCCATGTTCATAGCAACACTATTCAAATAGGCAAAAGGTGGGAGCAATTAATTATTCCTTGACAGATAAACAGATGAACAAGAAATATATATGCATGATGATGGAGTATTATTCAGCTTAAAAAAGGAAATTTTGATACATGCTACAACATGAATAAATCTTGAGAATAAATTAAATGAAATAAGCCAGTCACCAAAGGACAAATACTGCATGATCCTACTTATATGAGCTATCCAGAATAGTCAAAATCATACAAGCAGGAAGAATGGTGGCTGCCAGGGGCTGGGGGAGTTACTGGTTAGGGCACAAAGTTTAAGTTGAGGACGATGAAAAAGTTCTGGCCATAGATGGTGGTGATGGTATATACCTTTTTTTAAATTAAGGTATCATTGATACACAATCTTATGGTTTCACATGAGCAACATTGTGGTTACAACATTCATCCATATTGTCAAGTCCCCACACACACCCCATTGCAGTCACTGTCAGTGATGGTACATACTTAAAGCCACAGAACTGTTCACTTAAAAATGGTTAACGTTATATATATATTTAACGATAATAGAACAAAGTAAATGGGAAAAAAACCCCTCTAAAACAGACAGAAAAGCAGTAACTATCTTCCCTTTTTTACATTCTTATAATGCCTATAAGTGGGAATATGACAGGGATATGCAGTTTACAAAGCGTTTTTTCACACATTAAGTTGGGACAGGATCCATTCTCTAATCTCTCAGTGAGGCAATTGAGATAGAAAGTTGAAGTGACTGACCCAAAGTGAAATATATAGTAAAATGGTCAAGCCAAAACTAGACCCCAGGCATTCTGATCCCTAATCTAGTGTTTTCTCCCCTAAACAAAAAAACACCTCAAAAGTCTTCAGTCTTATACAAACTCTTCTGAGAACAGCCATGCCTTCCTTATGCTTCTGTATGTCTACTGCACTGTTTTTGTTTTTTTAATTTTTTATTAAGGTATTATTAATATACACTCTCATGAAGGTTTCACATGAAAAAACAATGTGGTACTACATTTACCCATATTATCAAATCCCCACCCATACCCCAATGCAGTTACGGTCCATCAGTGTAGTAAGATGCCACAGAGTCACTATTTGCCTTCTTTGTGCTACACTGTGTTCCCTGTGATCCCCCACACCATGTGTACTAAACATAATACCCCTCAGTCCCCTTCTCCCTCCCATCCCCACCCACCTTCCCACACCCCTCCCCTTTGGTAACCGCTAGTCCCTTCTTGGAGTCTGTGAGTCTGCTGCTTTTTGTTCCTTCAGTTTTGCTTTGTTGTTATACTCCACAAATGAGGGAAATCATTTGGCACTTGCCTTTCTCCACCTGGCTTATTTCACTGAGCATAATATCCGGACCAGCTCCATCCATGTTGTTGCAAATGGTAGGATTTGTTTCTTCTTATGGCTGAATAGTATTCCATTGTGTATATGTACCACATCTTCTTTATCCATTCGTCTACTGATGGACACTTAGGTTGCTTCCATATCTTGGCTATTGTAAAAAGAACTGCACTGTTTTTTATACTCAAGTTTTACATTGCTAAAGTTTCTACTTTATTACTAGACTAAGGTTAAAGGGACAGATCTTAATCTCTAGTGTTCTGCATTGTTGGTGAACAATAAAGTTTCTGGATTGTGGATTCTACTCCATGAACATCAAACCCCCTAGCAGTTAAACACCAAAACAATTAGGACTGTGTGTCTCTATTTTCACTCCTTCCTATTACTTGTTTTTCCCTCCTCTACAGGAGACTTTTATAATTCCAAAAATTCCCAAAAACTTTCCAAAAATTCTAATAACTTCCAAAAATAGGTACAAAATGTCTACTTCTCAGTCTGTGACATTATCAATGGTCATCAACTAGAGTCATTACTTCATTAAGGGTTGCAATATAGTTAATGGTGATGTTCTATAATCCTTTATTCATTAGCTAGACTACATCTGTAAAGAAACTCATCAAGTACTCAGCTATCTGATGCAGTTTGTATAGAAGGCCAGAACAAATGAATGATTCTTTACCTTTGTTTACTGATTTTCAAAAACAATTAACTTCCCAGCACCCTCCAAAGATGATCAGTGAGTTATAAAAAAAAGTATTCATGGATTTAAACAAATGTGATGGGTTTCAATCCTTTGTATTTATCCTTATTTAGCCTCAAATCATCCCATATTTGGACAGTGGAAATAATTCAAATTGGCTAAGACCTTATGACACAAACCTGCACATCTGATCGCTTCTTTGCTTTTTAGGGTTACATCTTACCAGACATATCTTATATTTTTCTTGTATTAGACCTGGAATCAGCCATCTCTTTAAAAAAGCCCAAATCCCTTTCAGTGGGAAATAGTATTTAGAAACGACAATCTGGGTGCTAGGAGAACTCACTGCCTTTTTAATACAAAGAGCTAGGAAATTTTATACACATATATAGATATACAAACGTGTATCATGAGTTTATACTGATGCTTCTAACTCAAATTCGGGTTTATAGGCCTTTTACTCAATCTCTGATCTTTCAAGTGTTTATCCCATGATATATATAATAGACACTCGATAATCAAGAATTAAAATGTCAACACTACTATCAGCAAAATGAAAGTCATTTTATTTTGTTTTTTGCAATTCTTCCTACCCTTAGGATATACCCAACTCAAGATATCCCATAAATAACTGTGTATTTAAGTCACTTGGAATAGTTTGTGTGATTGTATCAGCAACTGGAAGTATACTTTATAAGTTTTATTTTACTCTTTTTAGGTATTGCATTTTTAATTCAACTTTGTTACAAAATTTTGTAAAATATTTGGGTCTGAAGTCAAAACCACAAAACGAGATATTCAAAGATGACTAGCTGTTCTCCCTTTCTACTCCCTCCCTGCCCCATAGGTAATTTTACTAATATTTTTATATAATACCTCAAATCCCCTTGTCTTGCCAATGGGTTTCAGCCCCAGGCAAGTTCACTATGGATTCAGTGAGTCAGAGGAATGACAATGGAACATTCTTGGAGCCGCCCCCCCCCCCAACCAAATAGTTCTGCATCCAACAATCTGCAGATCTGTAAACCTGTCTCTGCCCCTCCCAGAGCACTGGGCAGAGCTCTTTAGTGACTCAGTCAATAACAGCTTACTGCCTAGGGGTATGAAAGCAGTAGTCTAGCAGCAGGCCAGTTACATCATCAAGTAGTTTAGGTTCAGGTGAGGATCCTGGCCATAAGAACCCCAACTTTCCCCACACCCCTCTTTTTTGGTTGCTATCCATTGGCCCATACTGAGTAATATTAAAATTAGCTAATAGCTTCTTCCTCCTGTCTCTCCTTGAGCATCTAATTTTAAGTAATATATTTTTATTTACAATTAACATCAATAAGGTAATCAGTGGGCTTATTTCACTTTTCATATATTCTCCCCAAATTTTTGAAAAACTTTACCTACAGGATTAAACTACTG